GCTGAATAATATTCCTCTGTGTTTGTGTGTGTTTCTATGTGTATCACATTTTCTTTATCCATTCATCCATCAATGGACATTTAGGTTGTTTCCATATATTGGCTATTATAAATAATGCTGCATGAACATGAGGGTACACCTGTCTTTTTGAGGTACTGTTTTACTTTCTTTAGAAAAATACCCAGAAGTGAAATTGCTGGATCATATGGTAGTTCTATTTTTTAATGTTTTTGAGGAATTTCCATATTGTTTTCCACAGTGGCTGCACCAATTTACATTCCCACCAATAGTGCACAAGGGTTCCCTTTTCTCCATACCCTCGCCAACACTTGTTATTTCTTGTCTTTTTGGTAATAGCCATTCTAAAAGGTTTGAGATGATATATCATTGTGGTTTTGATTTGCATCTCCCTGATTATTAAAAATGTTGAGCATCTTTTCATGTTTCTGTTGGTCATCTGTGTGTCTTCTTTGAAAAAATGTCTGTTCAGATCTTCTGTCCCTTTTTAAATTGGATTATTTGTTTTATTGCTGTTGGGTTGTATGAGTTCTTTATGTCTTTTGGATATTAACCCCCTGTCATATACATGATTTGCAGATATTTTCTCCCATTCAGTACATTGTCTTTTCATTTTGTTGTTGGTTTCCTTTGCTGCACCAAAGCTTTTTAGTTTGATGTAGTTCCACTTATTTATTTTTACTTTTATTACCTTTGCTTTTGTAATCAGATCCAAAAAAATCATCACCAAGACTGATGTCAAGGAGCCTACTACCTATGTTTTCTTCTAGGAGTTTTATGGTTTCATGTTCAAGTCTTTAATCCATTTTGAGTTAATTTTTGTGTATGGTGTAAGATAGTGGTCCAATTTCCTTCTTTGGCATGTGGCTGTTTAGTTTTCCCAACACCATTTTTTGAAGAAACTGTTCTTTCCCCATTGTATGTTCTCAGCTTCTTTGTAAATTAACTTCTCTCTATAAATTAATTGACTATGTATGTGTGGGTTTATTTCTGGGCTCTCTGTTCTATTTTGTTGAGCTATGTGTATGTTCTTATACCAGTATGATACTGTTACGATTATTATAGTTTCGTAATATAGTTTAAAATCAGGACGTATGATACTCCAGCTTTGTTTTTTCTCAAGATTGATTTGGCCATTTGGGGTCTTTCATGGTTCCATACAATTTTTAGGTTTGTGTGTGTCTGTTCTGTTTCTGTGAAAAATGCCATTGGCATTTGAATTTTGATTTTACTCATCTGTGTAATCCTATTGTCAAGCACATAGTAGGAAAGTAATGAATATCTTGAGATGACACAAGTTGAATTTTGAACAAGCAGAAATTTGATGCGGAGGAAATAGCACATTCAAAAGCATAGAGACATGAAGGAGCACTGTAAGTTTGGGAAAACGTGAGTAATTCAGTGAGGCCAGAAGGAAGAAAGTGTGTCAGGGAGGGGCCCAATATGATGTCAGAAAATTAGCAGAGCTGAGATTTGGAAGGACCTTATGGACTGAGCAAGAGTTTGAGCTGTATTGGAAAGCTCTGAGGAAGCCAAATTGAAGGATTTTAAATTGGGATGTACTTGATCAGATTTGTGTTTTTAGTCAGATTTGTCTAACAGCTGGGTAAATGGTGGATTAGAGAAGCCCAGAGTGGAGGCAGAGAGACCATGAAGAGGTCATTTTAAGCAATAAGGAAGGAGGACTTAAAGACGGTGGCATTGACATGAAGAAGGGGCAGGCTCATGGGCTTTTAAGACTTAAGATGAGCAGAATATGATGACTGACTAATCCTGGGCCCAGAAAAATGGAGCATGGTTTTAGCTGGAATGTCCCATTGGCCACCTCTCTACCTATCCTCACTCACCTTGCTTCGTACCCTCAACCCTGACCTGCCACCAGTGAGTGATGAAGGATAAAGAACAGAATGCGTCACATCTATTTCCCAAGAAAAATAAAATCCACATGTTAGGGCTAAAAGGGGCCTTGGAGATCACCCAGCCCAACTCCCTGATTTGATAAGTGAACTCAGAAAGAAAGGGGTGACTTTCCTACAATACCTCTGAAAATCAGCAACAGGCACCTCGTTACTCTTTTCTGAATCATCCATGTAAGTCTCTACATGGCACCTGTCTAATATTTTCATGTGTATTTAGCTTATTTTCTGCCTCTCCCTGACATCAGAATGTAATATTTAAGAGCAGAACCCGTGATGGTCTAAAACAGTCTTTTGCCCATAGAGTAAACACTTGCTGAGTATTTGTTGAGAGAGGAATGAGCCAGGTATAATCAGGTTTGTTTCCTCCTGAACCAGTTTTCTTCACACAGAACCTTGGTTTGGAGCTTATCAATCCGTAATTCTATTTCCCGCTGGAGTGTTTCCTCATCATTCCTGCAGAGGCTAAAATGCACCACAATAACATTGTAGTTCCTGTGGCTTGAGAAAGTAAAGAACCAAAAATAATCACTGTTGTATTCCTTTAAAAATATTAACTACTGATTACCTAACACCTATTAGAATTGTTATTATTAAAAAAATTAACAAGTATTGCAAGGATGTGGAAAAATCAGAACTCATGTGCCAATTAGAAATATAAAATGGTGTGGCTACTGTGAAAACCAGTATGGTAGGATACTCAGAAAATTAAAAATAGAACTCCCATATGATCTAGCAATTACACTCCTGAGCATATATCCAAAATAAATGAAAGCAGGATCTCAAAGAGATCTTTGTAAACCCATGTTCATAGCAGCATTATTCACTATAACTAAAAGATGGAAGCAGTCCTAAATGTCCAGCAATGGATGAATGGATAAACAAAATTGCTATATACATACAATGGAATATTATTCAGCCTTTAAAAGGAAGAAAATGTTGCAATATGCTGTAACGTGGATGAGCCTTAAGAACCATATGCTCAGTGAAATAAGTTAGTCACAAAAGAGACAAGTATGTATGATTCCACTTACATGAAGTGCCTGGAGTAGTCAAGTTCATGGATACAGAAAGTAGAATGGTGGTTGCCAGGGGCTGGGAGGAGAGGGAATGAGAAGCTGCTGTTTAATGACTATTAAACAGTGTTCCAGTTTCACAAGATGAAAAGAGTTCCAAGCATTCACCACAATGTGAATGTACTTAACGCTTCTGTGCTGTACACTTAAAGGTGGTTGAGGTGGTAAATTTTAAGTTATGTGTCTTTTACCAGAACTGAAAAACACCATTGAGGTATGTACATCTGCTGTCTCATATGATCCTTTAAACAACCCTGAACCATTAGTAGAATAGTCCCATTTTATAGTGAGGGACATAAAGCTCAGAGAAGTGATGTGAATCGTCCAAGGCACAGAACTGGAAAATGGCAAAGTTGAGCTTCATACTCAGATCCCCTGGTTCCATGCCCAGGACTGGCTTCTACCACATCAGGGGAGGAGATGTTTAGTGGAATCAACTTGACTGTGGGTTGAAATAGAAGATACTAACCCTTGGCAATTTGTGAAGGAAGCAATATATGTGTGTATGGTGTGTGTGTGTGAGTGAGTGAATGAATGGGAGAGGAGAAGAAAGAGCAAAGAGCGTGCAGGCAAGCTCCCAGACACCTGTTTCATACATCCTGTTCAATTTTCCCCCCTTCCTGAATCTTCAGAGGGCAGGTGTGAGTCAACTGTAAACACAGTGAGAAAGGTCCCCCAACATTCATTGCCCCGCTGGGAAAATCAGAAGTCAGTAGTATGGCGATTGTAGACGTGAAATGAAGAGCTTCACGATGATCAGGAGAAGACGGTGGCTCTTACTTTTGGAAGTGGTTCTGGGATATGTTCTCCCACACTCTACCCCCACCCCCTCCTACCTCTTGTGAAGACAGAAAATTACAAAGCACACTTAGGAAAGTAAATCAGATCTAGCGAGAGGAAGAGGGGACTGGGATCAGCACTGAGCAGGAGCCAGGTAGAATCCTGGGCATGTCCCTTCCTCTGCCCCAAGGGCTGGGCTGCTATTACTACCACCATTTTCATACACTGAATGTTGCATGAATTTAGCAAGTAGAACACAATCTCCCAAGGAGAGTCAAAAATACAAAGGATCATCTAGTCTCTTACATTTTTTTATTGAGTTATAGTCATCATCTAGTCTCTTGTAAATAGGTTTCATTTACTCTGTGTCAGGCACTGTGATGGACACTTTAAAGATGGTAACCCTGATCCTTCTACCATTTGCAAGTTATTTTTAGGATGAGACTGCACTGGTAATACCAAGTTCCCCAAAATACTTGCCTGGATGGTAAAGAGCTGAGTGAGAATTTAAACACAGACCAATCTAGTTCTAAAGATGGCTCTTCTCCCCACTCCCCATGGTGTTAAGTTCAACAGCCAAGTTATAAAGAGCTATGGAAGCCACAAGTTCGCGCTGCCTGTCAGCCCCAGGGGAAATCTTGATGGAGAAGATGGGCATTAAAGTTGCAAGAAAGCCATTGACAATACATATGAGGAAGCAAGATGAAGCACAAAGACATAAGCAAAGTCAGGTGGGCAGAGAGTATAAAGTTTATAGGAAAATTGTAAATTATCCTGTTTGCTCTAAGTATGGTGGCATCGGGCTATGGCTGGAGATCATAATACCACCATCTGTTAGGTCGTATTTCCACTGTTCTTGCCAGTGTTCTTGAATGCCACACTAAGAGGTTCAGAACTTACTTTTATAGGCAGCAGAGAGCCATCAAAAATTTGCATCAAGGGATTTATCTGTAATTGTTAGTACTACCTCGTTTATAAGTGTTCTTTATATGTTGTGGAGAAATTAAACATACCTGAAGTGTTTCGAAGAGGAAACAATTGTTTTCACTCCATCTCATGGACAATAGCATTACTGGCTGATGTTATTTGGTGGGTGAGGGATGGCATTACATCGGCACTTGGAGCGCCTTAGCGTGCGCAGGGAAGTCAGCTAGTCACGCTGCTTGTCTCCTACAATAATGAGACATTTCTCTTTTCTTTTATACTTTAGGAAGGGTTAAGAAATTTCAAGGAACTTCGAGCCAAATTTCAGAATCTTGATGCGCCATCTCTTCCAGGACTGATTCAATTCCCAGCAGGTGTTTCTCAACAGGGTGACATTGGAAGCAAACAGTCCACTAAGACTTTGGCCAGTGGGAAGCCCATCTTGTCCAGCCACAATCAGCCCCCACCAAATTGTGCCGGTGGTGATCCTCAGCCTCTTAAACCCCAGAAAGTGAAGCTGGCTCAGAGGAGTGAGATTCAGAAATGTTCTAATTCCCAAGAACCTCCGGGAATGTCTCCTGGTTCAGCTGTGAATTCACAGAAGGGTCCTCTGCTGTTAGATATGAATCAGTCAGATGCTGAGATAACCAGTAAGAAGAAAGCAATGCTGAACAATAGCTTCAGAGACAAGCTCTGGAACTGGGAGGTTTTATCTCAGCAAGGGGAGATGTCATCAGCCTTTGTCCTTGCCGATGGTGGAAGTAGGGCCTTCCATCTGGAAGAGCAGAACAGCATGGGGCTGACTCCAGAGGAGCCCAGGAAAATGCTGGAAATACAAGGATCCCAGACGCTTCCTTCCCAGAAGCTCTTGATGGCCCAAGGAAAATTGTGCACCGCCTCTAAGGATCCCACTCTTCCTTCTCCACGTGGCAGGAAGGGCCAAGAAAACCCCAGTCCTGAGAGGAGCCCAGCAGGGAGCACCTGCCACCGTCTCTGTGACAGTGAGCTCAGCGGCCAGGCCCCAGGTGAGAAATCAAATCCCCATTGCCTAGAGGGAGGGGTCACTGTGTGTTTCTAATTTAGAGCCTCTCTCTTGAATTGGTGTCCTGGGCGATGTTTGCTCCAAACTCCAGCACAGGTATTCTAGGCCCATCTGCCAAATCATAATTTCAGGCTTGGGTAAAGTGATTAAACTCCTGGAATTATCTGGAGAGACAGTTTGAACAAACTTGGATTTGAATCCTAGCTCTGCTTCTTACAGGATGCATGAACTTGGGCAGTCTGCTGAACTTCACAGAGCCGAGTCTGCTCTCCTATAAACCGACCCATCACCCATCTTCCTTGTCTTGGTAAATAGACAGCCATCCTCCCGGTCACTCAGGCCAATAATCTATGAATCATGCTTTATTCCTCTCTCCCCCTCATTCTTCGTCACTAATCCATCAGCAAGCTCTTGGTTCTACCAGCAGAGTATGTTTTGAATCCAAATCTGAATATGTCTTGAATCTGAATATGTTCTAAATCTACATGTTTCCACCTCTGCCTTCTGCCCCTGTCTACACCACTGTGGACCATCACTTGCCTGGACCACAGCAAGGTCCACCTGGTCTCCCTGGTTTCACAGTCTTGCCCTCTTATATTGTATTCTCCTCACAGGCACAGTGATGCTCTAAAGCATAAGTCAGATACATCGCTCCCCTCCTTAAATTCAACTACAGCCATCTTACAGAGGCTCATTTGATTCCATCCTTGCCTACCTCTCTTACCCTCTCCCCTCTCACCACATTTGGCCTTCTTGCTATTCCTTAGATATACCAAACTCGTTCCAGCCCAGGGCCTTTGCACTTGCTGATCCTTCGGTCTAGAACACTCTGCCCCTGAGTCTTTGATGTCTCACTCCCTCACTTCACCAGGGTCTCTGCTTAGGGTCACCTGCTGTGAGTGGACCTTGTGGATCACTCTCTAAAGTAGCCACTCCACCCTCGTCACTCTTTATCTTCTTACATTGCTTTGTATTCTTCATATCATTTATCCCTGACTGGTATATTGTTATGTATTTGTCTACCTTGGTAAAATATAAGTTAGATAAGAATAAAAGCTGTCTTCTTTACTGCTGTATCCTGAGAACCTAGAAGAATAAGGTCAGTTTCAGTGGGTCTTCAAAAAAAAAAATTTATTGAACAACTGAATGGGTGGATGGATGGATGGATGGAGGGGTGGATCTGCTTACAGTCCTACATGGTTTCCCTTTGCACTTTGAATAGCACCTAAACTACTTACTGCCGATTTCATGGCCCTACTTCTTCTGGCCTCTGCTTATGTCTCTGGCTTACCTCCTCCTGCCTCTCTTCCCCGGGCTCACTAGCCTGTGGACAACACATTGGATTTCTTGTTCATCCCTGAACCAACTTTTTATGACTCAGGACCTTTACAATTGCTGTTCCCTTTTCCTAGAAAACTATCTTTGATCTGTGTATAGGCACATTTTCCCAGATAAGCCTTCTCTAGCCAGAGGTCTCTACCTGAAGACCACTACCTCACCACCAAGAGTTCACCTCTTTTCATATCATCCTGTTTCATTTCCGTTATAGAACTAATAGACCTTTGTGATTTTTTTTAAATCTGTTTCTTTGTTTGCATGTTTATGGTCAGTCTCTTCCTATTAGAATGAAAATTCCTGAGGGCAGAACTATTTCTGTTCTTGCTCTTAACTCTAGCCCCAGCCCCAGAACAACGCCTGGGATGTAGTAGACAGTTATTGATGAAGGGATGGGAAGAAAGAGGAGATGAATGGGAGGAAGGAGAGATGGGAGGAAAGGGCTGGATTACCTCCTGATAAAGCCCTTGGGAGGATTAACTGAGATAAGGCACGCACGTCAGTTGCTTAGCACAGTGCCTGGTGAAAATTAGGAGCCTAGTTAGTAAATGATCATTCACTTTCACGAAGTCTTCTCCTTAATTTGATTAAGACTCTGACATTGTGACTTATCATTCAAGCTTAGGAAGAAAGGAGCGTCAGCCCTGACTGATGTACCCCCTGCTGGCAGGGCAAGAAGGAAGCCCTGCTCCTGGCTTCCGGAGGACAGCAAGGCGTTGAGGAGGTTGCACAGAGGTGTTTGTGAAGCGCTAGCCAGTTTGTTTAGTTTTACCATGTAGCCAATCGCTGTATTGTATAAACCAAAAACCAAGGCATGTGGATAACATAAGATTTTGTGCTGTTTTCAGTGTAAGAGGCAGATCCAATTTTCATATATAGTTATGGAATTTCTGTTGTGGATTGGCTTATCAGGGCAGAAGGAGAAGATACATGAAATTGGGACTGTCCTGGAAAACCCACAGGTGCCCAGGTACCACAGAGTCAGCGGTGAAGCCTGTTCTAGGCTGTGAGCCCTGGAAATCAGAGACACTTCCTACCCCTCTACGTAGCCCGCCTGTTATTAGCCTGCCATGAGAGCTTGAAGAGCCCTTTCAGGGACTGGGCATCAGCTGTTCCCTCTGATGCAGGCCCTGGGCTTGGTGCTCGGAGGGGGTCACCAGGGCTTAGTCTCTGCCCGCGAGGAGCCTACATTCAGTGTAACCTTCATATCGGCCCCTCTAATATGCCCCAACACTGCTGGTGAGATGTTAGCAATGTGCTAGGGGATACAGAACGAGTAGTTGATTCTGAGCTTGTTTTTTGGTAGAAATCAAGAAAAGCCTCCTAGAGAAGGCGGCTTTGGAGCAGGGCCTTAAACGAGCGAGTCAGAGTTTGCCAACACAGAAGTGAGGGGACAGCGTTCCAGAGCCAGGAATGGCATGCATAAAATCCTGGATAGATGAGAGCTTTTTAGGGCTTCTGAAATCAAATCTGGAGGACTGAGAAGCCAGTGTGTGAGAGGAAGATGAGGGGGCTTAAGGTCGGGGAAGGAGAAGGTAGAGCGTAGTAAGAAAAGAGTCTGGAAATGGAGACTGAAGCTGTGTGGTGTTTAAATGGCAGAGGGCGGAGTGAATGGACGTCCCGCTGAGGAAGTCAGGCTTCAGCGTCTGGGCAGCAATATGGGAACAAGATCAGGTTTATATTTTGATCAGGATGCTCTGGCTACTGGGTGGAGATTAGATCGGAGGCGAGTATAAGACTGAGGCAGGCCATGAAATGGAAATAATAATAACCTACATTTTGGACCGTTTGTGCTCAGAGAAACAGCCGGATGTCAGGCGTCCACAACTTCCCAGTACCAAGCCACTGCCTTCTGTCAAGTCCCTGGGTCCTCCTCCACCAAAGCCGCCAAAGCCCCTGGTCGTGAACCTCCAGGCCTTCCAGAGGCAGGCAGCTGCTCTTCCCACGACCCACAGGGAAGGTAAGGAAAGGTGCGGGGCCTTGGGGGCTCAGCCCGCCAACAGGAGTCGGGTCTCCGGTGCCAGCATCCCCCCGTCCCCTCCCTCCCCGCATCAGCTCCCAGGGGACAATGCCCAGCTGCTTTTCTGTGGGGCTGGATATCCATCACTGCTTATTCTTATGTAGGGGCTGTGGCAGCTTGCCGGTGAAATGACAAATCTGTGGGAATTGGCCCCTTATCGCTCCTGGGCCAGCCTGCTTCTCCTGAGAGCGTTGCATTTGATCGCTGGGAACCTGTCCAAGAGGAAGAAAACGGAAAGTAGCTGAGAAGGGAGGCAGCCGCTCTTTGTTTTCCTACAAAGCCTGTGTTGTCAACACAACCAGTGCAGTAGGAGAGGTCAGGGGAGCGCAGAGCGGAAAGTCAGCATGAACTTGACCTGCGATCAGGATGGAGGTCCCTCAGGCCTCTGTTATCTGCCTTTAGGAGTGAATTGAAGGGCCCCTACCCTGCCCCTACTTGCCCTTTCCAGGAACTGTAGCATCCTCGGAAGCCATTTTTCTGTGCTATTTTGTGTTTTTCTCTGCAACGTAGAGGGACACCTTCTCACCCCACCCCAATCTCTGCCTGCTCCTGTTGACACTGTAAACACCTTTGTTCTGATGAAACCTGAGCCCAACACACACTTGGGGGCGCTGTGCAGTCCTGTGCCAGCTGTTCATTTTGCGGTGGCCACGAGGGCCCATGGATGGATTCTTAGTTCACTGATGGTTCATTTGACCGCTTTGGGCAACATCAGGGTGAAATTTCCTTAAGTCACTGGTTCTCAAACTTGAGCACGCATCAGAGGATTTGGTCAAACACAGCTTGCAGGGTCCAACCCCAGAGTTTCTGACTCAGTTGGTCTGGGTGTGGGGCCTGACAGTTTGCCATATTAACAACTTCCTGGGGAGATGCTGATGCGGCTGGTCCGGGGACCACACTTGGCTGGTCTGAGAGCCACTGCTATAAGTCAGCTTAAGTCTAATCGTAAAAGAAAATTCTAGAGAGAGAGACATAGAGTTCTTATCGGTATACGTTGGGAATATGGCCACCTCCACATCAGAGAAGGCTAACTATGAGTTTTATAAATCTTAAGTAATTCAGGCCTCAAACCGTCTCTTTGAAAGAGAAGAAGATTGTCAGAGAACAAAGGACTGAGTCTTTGGGAATAAAATGGGCTTTGTAAACCCTAGCTCCCCCACTCACTAGCTGTTTAAGCTTGGGCATGGGACTCACTGAGCCTCATTGTCCTTATCTGTAAAATGGGGATGATAATAACACTCGTCTCATTGGATGCTGAGGAGGAGAAATGAGATGAGGCTTGGGAAGACTTTGAAGGGTGCTGAGCACACTGGTGAGCGCTCAGTAAAGGCAATGTTATCATTACTCCAAGCCTGCATTGAGCAGCCCCACTCTCTTTGCTGGGCTCTGGGATAAACGCAAGAGATTAAGAGGTGAACCCCACGGGAGTGCCAGGGCTCAAGGAGGCCTAGTCCCAGAGACTGCACTCATAAATAAGCACTACAACGTGCGGTGTGTGCTCCGTGCAGGACCGACGGTCCCTCATGCTGGGTGCTGTGGGAAGGGGCGGCTGGGGGCACAGGTGAGCTGCCCCCCCCATTTTGTCTCAGGGGTCAGGACATAGCACAAACAATCCACTTCAACAGACTACCACTAACACCCCTTTTTCACTCTGCCTTTTGCTCCTGCAGCAGCTGTAAAAGAAGATGATGTGCCTCCGGAGAGGTAAGTACACGTTTCTTAATTGTGCAGAAGGGTAGCCCATCAACCAGGCTGCTTAGCTAGCCCAGAAGCGACTAGGAAGCACATGCCAGATGCCTGTATTTCTCAGAAGGGTTGCAGGAAGAGCAGATTTATAAGCAACAAAATGCAACTCTTGATTAAAAGAGAGATTAAATAAACTGCATTTAAAAACCATGCTGACATTCCGTTGCAAAGACGGTCCTCAGAGGTCCTCTTATTTACTGTACAGTTGGGTTCAGGAAATTGAAACATCAGCTTCTGGAGTAATAAATCGGATTAGAGGCTACAGAACGTCGTGGGCAGCCGGTGTGATGTTAGGAACTGGTAATGGGACAAAGAACCTTCTGTCTTTAGTGCAGTCATTCTAAGAATTTTGCCACAGACGTGGCAGTTCATTAATTCACTCAACTAAATACTGTCTGCTGAGCCCTGTGGTGGGTCATGCACCACGTGGCTACTTTATATAGATCTCAATTCTCAAGAAGGCTGCAAAGTTGCTGCTCATTTTACAACTAAAGATGCTTGGGCTTAGAAAATCTCCCACTTGCAGAGTCACGATTCCAACCCAGGTGTGCCCAAATATTTTCTTAAAATCGAGGTATAATTGACACATAACATTGTGTAAGCTTTGAGGTGCACAGTGTGTTGGCTCGATACATTTCTGTGTCTCAGTATCATGACTGTGTAGTGTTAGCGAACACCATTATTGCCCGGCATAGTTATCATTTCTTTTTTTGTGTTGAGAACAGTTCAAATCGAGTCTCTTAGCAACTTTGGGTTTATGAGTATTTGTTTTCCTGTGATCACTATGTTGTGTATTGAACCTCCAGAACTTATCCACTAGTTGCAGGTTTGTGCTCTTAAACATAACATCTCCAGTTCCCCTACTCCCCAGCCCCTGGGAACCACCATTCTACTTTCCGCTTTTACAAGTTCTGTTTGTTTAGTTGTTTTTAAGGTTCCGCATATAAGTGACATCATATAGTATTTGTCTTGTTCTGTCTGACTTATGCTTCATCCGTGTTGTTGTAGATGGCAAGGTGGCCTTCTTTTTCAAGATTGAGTGATATTCCATACATATCATATTTATAATATATTACATTTATATATCTATTATGTTTATATAAATATCACACTTACAAACATCAATAAAATATGTGTGATGTATTATATATAAATATAAATACATATGTGTATATAGACCACATCTTCCTCCATTCATCTGTTGATGGACACGTGGGTTGTTTCCGTATGTTAGGTGTTATGAATAATGCTGTAGTGAATCTGGGTATGCAGATAGCTCTTTGGTATCCTGTTTTCATTTCCTTCAGCTATATACCCAGGAATAGGGTTGCTGGATCATATGATAGTATAATTTTTAATTTTTCGAGGAACTACCATACGGTTTTCCATAATGGCCCTACTAACAGGTATGCCCAAACTCTTTTGACTATGTCACCTCACCTCCTTCACCAAGGTGTTCCTGTTCTCAAGAAAGTCAGTCTTAGAAGGAGAACCAACCATAAAAATAAATAATCATGTTATGTATTCATTCATTACGTGTTTATAATAGTAGAACGTGTTACATTCAGTAATAGAGAAAGGTACAAGTTTCAGAGGTTGCAAAAATGTGCAGTGATCACTTTTCCATGGGGGGATCAGGGAAGTCTTTATAGAAAATTCGTCGGTTATCTGTTGCTGCAGTAACACTGCATAATACATACAAGTGAGTGGGGTTCAGCTGATCTGGGCTGGGCTCAGCTGGTGTTTGCTCATATGTTGCGGACTATCTAGGCCGTTTGGCTGATACTGAGTCAGAGTGGAAGGTTACTGAAACTTTATAGGGATCCAGGAAGGGGTGAGGAATGGGGCATTAATCCAATCAACCTAGCACTGATGACAGAACATTTGCAATGGGGATGGATATTGAGGGTAAACATCTGTCGGGAAACATGCGAAGGGACCCTCTAGGCAGGGGCAGGAGGTGTGAGGTTACAGGTCTTATTCCAGGAACTAGAACTAGTGGAGTTCACGTATAGAAAGTATAATAAGAAATGGAAAGGAATGGGTTTGTAGAAAGAGACAGAAACCAAATCCTGGAGGATCTTGTACACCGAGGACAGGAGGACACCACCTTGTTCAGCAGGAAACTGACTGCGTGGTGCTGGGCAGGATTCACTGGCTCCAGGAACTCCCAGTTCAGGTGTCAATCTGAAACAATTCAGTGACGGCACAAGGGAGGTCGGTGGGGCTGCCTTCTAGGTGCACAGACGTCAAAGAGAGAAAAAACTCAGACAGCTCAGGCACTGACTGGCACTATTGACCCAATGAGCGTGGGCCCCAGTGTGACGGTTTGAGGGGACAGTGTGATTCCACTGTGTCAGTCTTGGTTACCCTGGGCCTCGAGTACTATGAGCATCTCAGTATGATTATGAGCATGCTGTGATTGTAGTGTCCAGCTAGATGTGCCTTTTCCCTACATCTTGGCTCTAAACTCGGCTGACTCTGTCTCTGGCTCTTTAATCATCTGTTTCAACATGAGGGGCAAACTTGCTGGGATGGACAAGTGTTGGGAAACCATAGTCAGTCTCTAATGTGACACATTCCTAAGGGATTACAAGGGCAGGTGGTCTATACTGTCCTTTCACACTGACTTTGAGCCTAACCCCCTCTGAAATGAGACTCACTGTACCTTAATTATGAAGTGGACCATAGTGCTGTCTGAGTGAGACACAAACAAGATGAAGAGGGACCAGAATAAGTAGGGGTGGCTTCATGGAAGAAGAAAGAACTTGGGATGTATCCTGTATGATAGGTCAGGATTAGATAGGTTTACTTATTTGTTCCCTTTTGTTAGACTGTAAGGTAGGTGAGGGCAGAGTGTTATTTCCAGAAATAACCACATTCTTGACTTACAGTTGGTAGATGGATGGATGGATGAACTGAAAGACAGACCAATGGATGTTCAGTATATAGGTAGAACAAGATTGAAAGCAAGATGGTAGTGATAAAGGAGAGGATATAAGCAAACAAGAAGTGTTCTGATGTAGAAAAGTAAGAGATGAGGTTGGATCCTCAAGTACATTAAGTGCCATGCTAAGGATTTTGAATACTGTCTTGTCAGTGATAGGAAATGAGTTTGAACAAGTAAGTGCCATGATGCTCAACAGCCTTAGACACAACTTCCATGGAAACTGATGCTCGTTTGGGAAGAACGTCTTCCATGTTCATAATACTCATCTTCAATACAGACACTAGATTAGAAATAGAATATGTAGGACCTCATTACTGGAAGGGCACCAGGCACGTAGTCTAATGGAGCCTAGCCGTGAAGCATGTTAACAAAAATCTGGGCTTTTCATCTAAGCCTTACCACTTACCACCTATATAGCCTTGGACGAATGCCTTAGCCTCTGCAGAACTCAGTTTCTACTTTTGATGGGGAGAGGTGCTCACGGCCTGGAGAATCCAGGGGTTGTCTTTGTTGGGGCAGATTTTATTCATTCAGGACATATTTATTGATAATCTACTGTATGCCAAGCCCTCTTATTATATACACTGAGAATACAGCAGCGTATAAAGTAGAGAAAAATATCTTACATACACCCACACACACATTTGTCTATTTGAAAGTCCTTCAAGTTGGGCTGGGGAAAAAAAATGACTTCCTTACTCTGAACTCCCAACCATCTGTCCAAGGTCTGCTCATTGGTACAATGGACATTGTCTTTACCCCTGCTTTACATAACCATCCTTAAACCGTCTAAGGACTACTTTCTTCTCTAATCTAAAACACTCATTGTTTTCAGCCATCATTCATAAAACAGAAGTCTTTGTGGTTTAGCTGTATTTCTGTGGATGTATTTTTTTAATCATCTCTTTAGGAACTCAGTGCATTTAAAATAGCTACTTTTGTTTCTGAGCTTCTCCATACTGTGTGTTGAATACACGCAGCATTGTGTAATGGAGCAAGGTCAGGTCTGTGATCAGATTAGCGTAAGGACAGAGCCCTCCTCTATTTTACACAAGTCAGTGAACAGCTCGGAGCTCTGATGTGCACATCTGCAAAGTGAACAGTGTTTACTTCATTGATGGTCATGAAGATGAAATGAGATAAATGGTATAAAGCATGGAGTGCACAAAAGATGCTCAGTGAGTCTTAGGTTCTTCAACCCTTGGCCTCTCTGTTTCTTCTTATCTCTGGAATA